TCCAGACACCAGAAAACACTTTATATGATATATTGCAGAGCTCTTATTCGTGGTTACAATAAAACCTGCTATTCGTGTCCTGCTTGTTGTGGTGTTCCTGTTGTGGTTGTACTTTGTGCTCTCTGTAGGTACCAACTAGTGGTTTTTGTACGAAGGAGCTCTTGTGCGTGTGACTGTGTGTGTGTGTGTGTGTGTGTGTTTGTGTGTGATTGAAGTGTACTGTATGAATGCTAGGGAGTGAAAGAGCAGATTTGTTTTTTAAATACAAAAGCGAAGCTACATGAACACTGATGCTGGACGAAGCAGACATCCTGAAGACACATAAGTAAACAAGGCTTGATGTAAGGTTGTTTGAATTTGAAGTAAGCAACAACACAATAAAATATGTTCGAACAATAAGCGTCTACACCTCATTTCAAGTTCCACAGGAGACGGGCCATGTATGTTTATCCCTAGTATGCAATGATGTCGATTCGTACATCAGGAAATGAGTAATCCGATTGATCTATCTTAGATTTCCAGATTATTATTTGTGATTTCTCAAATGTTTAGCATCCGTTTCCACGTCCCTTTAATACGGTCTACATTCCCAAGGAGCGAGACTCCTCGAGTCTGTCCCAGTTCAGGCCTAACTCGGTATTTAATGTTGAGGAAAAAATATTCTTCTCGGTTATGGTTCGCACCCTTAAACAGTATCTGATGACGAACAAATACATTGATAAAACTATTCAGAAATGTGGAATCCCGGGCATTTCCTGGTGCCGAAGACGCGACTACGATCTGGGAGTCTATTAGGAGAGCCAAGGCAGAGAGAACCCAACTGCACATGATATGGCTGGATGTCGCCAACTCCTATGGAAATTAACCCCATAGGCTATTGTAGCAGGCTCTTCGCATGTTCCACGTACCGACACAGATCAACGAAATGATCGAGCAATCCACGTCGTGGAGGATGGGCCTTGGTAGACTGGTCCGAGTCTCTAGTGGAAAACGTCTTTTTCCTCGAAGGCCAAAGTGTCGAAATGTCTGCCAATGTCCCTTTGTCAACTGCCAGAGTCTAAATGCCAAGTCTAACACCTGTCCGATGAACCAATAAAAAGCTTGTCACCATGGTCGCAAAGTAGTCGACTGATCTAATTTGCTACAGCAGCGACAATATCAATAATTCTCACAACACCTGTTACCAATCACCATATCGTCTTGTCCCTGACCGAAAACATCCGGTAAAGTGCAGCAGGGGAAGATCGAGGCCTGGGAGTCATGACCCAGGTCAGCCCACCTTCCGAGATTGTATAGGAATGGTAACGTGCCGAAACAATCGTTGACGATGGATCTTTCAACTGATGATCGGTGGGCCCCTGCTGTACATGCTTTCCTATAGAGTTTTTTTCTGTTATACAGTTCTTCATATTGTGGTGACTCCCAATCATTCCAATATTGTAGTTGATACCTCATAACTTCAGTGAATATGTGTTTTACGTTGGTCTTTGGCGACCCGTGTGAAAGGGTCGTTCCATCCACAAGCGGGTCGCAATCCACGGGTTAAAAACCTCTGTTATAGACAAAGAGCACTTAGTGAGGGATATGGTCATCACCATACCGACCTGCCTTTACTTCCCAGGACTGCATCTGCTACGAACTCAAGGCTGGGTCGACCTAAGAGCCAGTGTTGTTTTTGAAAAATGTCTAGCTTTATCAGGAACTGAACCCAGGGTAAAATCTTAAAAGCTGTGTTGTCACACCTGACAATCTACAGCAAAATACACATGTACATGTTAGGCCAAAAAAAAAAAAAAAAACATGTTATCATATTGTCCGCAGCATTCATATTCAATGAGTAAAACAATTTAATTTTCAACTGTATATGTTTTCTTGTTGAAAAATGTTGAAACACCATAAAAACTCATTTTTTATTTATTTTATCAAGTCCTTTACCCCCAGACGAGATTGTAGAGAGAGCTAAGTCTTTACTTGGACCCATTGCATACGATGTATTTCAGTACAACTGTGAGCACTTTGCGCTGTGGTGTCGGTATGGTGTTGCAGCTAGCTTCCAGGTTGGTACAGTCATTGCACCATTCATTCATTCATTTGTTTATTTTGTTCTTCTCTCAGGTACAGGAACTTATAGTTATGTACGTCTGTCTGTCTGTCTGTCTGTCTGTCTGTCTGTCTGTCTGTCTGTCTGTCTGTCTGTCTGTCTGTCTGTCTGTCTGTCTGTCTGTCTGTCTGTCTGTCTGTCTGTCTGTCTGTCTGTCTGTCTGTCTGTCTGTCTGTCTGTCTGTCTGTCTGTCTGTCTGTCTGTCTGTCTGTCTGTGTGTGTGTGTGTGTGCGCGTACGCCACAGGTTATTTCAAACTGTAATCATTGACTCCTTATAATTGTGCGTGCAAATAACGTGTACATCAAACTGTAGTGATGCATTTGGCCCACTATCTTGTGCACTCTTTTGTGACACACGTGTCTTGGCAACTAAATGGTTTCATGTTTTTCAGTCAACCTTCAAGTGGGAGAAAGTCAACGAATACCTAAAGACCGTCAAGAAAGGAGCTAGGGTGGCTTGGACAGCAATCGGCCGTGTGAGCAGGGTATCACAACCCAGTGAGTATTCCTTTTTTTAACTCTTAGTGCACAGATTTTGTCATGAACACAGTTTCAAATTCCGACAGACATAGTTCAAGGTAAGCTGCAAAAAGCTCTTCTTGATTTCACCAACTGTGTGGGTGACGAGCTGTTCAGGAGGAAGTGGCAAACTGCTGAATATAACATTGCGTAATCAAGGAAAAAGAGAAGTAAATAATCCCCAATCCGCTAGAGGAGCATCAGTAATGCAGTGCTCGTCCTGCAGTTTTAAAATCTTTTCGCTTTTATTTGAATCTCTAGTTAAAGCAATGCGTTAAGATGTGGAGCTCAAATGTTGAACCATACGCTTTGTGGATGACAATGCAAAAAATGATTATCATCAATGGGGCTTGACAACTGGCGTCGGGGTAATGCCTTTCCGCAATCTAAGATCTGCAACTGCCTGCATCAGTTTGTGTGTTGATAACGAAAGGCTGTCAAGAATCTGTTCTGGATGACTTTCTTCGTTTCCTCCAACCCCTGTCTCCCCACCCTCACAAACCTTTCAAGTGGTCACTACATGTGGCAACATCCTTCTCTTCATGACGAATGAATAAAAATGACGGCCGTCTCTTTCTGATGTTTTGTGATACGTTGTCTTACAGTCATCGCCTCCCAAAAACTGCAGCTTTCATTCAAAATGCATGCAACAAATGATGGACTCAGATATAATAATGATGGTCTACCAAAAATGATTGCAGAAGTTGACGAGGCATTGCATCATATGATGGAAAGGCACCGGGGCCAGACAACATCTCACTGGAAGAAATCATAACACTGGGAGATTTTTGAATTCAAATAATAACTACACTTTTGAATAAACTTTATAATAATGGGTACATCCTAAATGACCTTTTCAAATCCATATTTATAGCTCTGTCAAAGAAACCAGACACTTTAAAAAATGAAGTCTATGGCACAATAGAGTCACACGACTAAGATGTTTTTGAAAATAATTATGAGAGGAATAAAAAACAAAATTAAACCATAAATCAGCAATCAACAATGTGGATTTGTAGAAGGAAAAGGTACACACAATGCCATATACATCCTAAGGACATTGTCAGAAAGAGCTATAGAAGTAAAGACTGATTTGTACTTTTGCTTCATACAAAAGCATTTAACTGTGTGAAGCATGAAACTGTTAGAAAAAATTAAACATTGATTGAAAAGATCTACGAATAATAAAGAATATGTATTGGCAGCAAGCAGCAGCTATAAGAATTAACAACTGTTTAGGTACATTTCAAAGCATATAGAGGGGCGTACAACAAGGATGTGTATTGCCACCTGATTCATTTTCACTATACAGTGAATATATAATGAGATATTTTATTGATCTGCCCGGAATTGTGTTTGGTGGGCATAATGTAAATAATTTGCGATATGCTGATGTCACAGTCTTGATAGCAACGAGTCAGACAGAAGTACAGGAAATGATAAACATTGTAGTGGTAAAAAGTGGAAAAATTGGCATCAGTTTGAATAATGAAATGGTAGTATCAAAGAAAAGAACTATTCCTAAATGTGTAATGGTGTTATTTTGGGACAAATACATAAATTTAAGTATCTGGCACATAGAAAACATCAGACTGTAGATACATTACTGAAATAAGAAACAGAATAGGACAGGAAAAGAAACACAGCATTTTTTTAAAATAAAGAATATCTTATACAATATATCTCTGTCATTGATGGTAAGAAAAAAACTCTTGCTTACTACGTACATCTAGTTTTAACATATGCCTGTGAATCCTGGACAATCGGATACAAGAATATCGTTGTTCGACCGTGAGGATAATGGTAGACGAATTTAGTGTTTGTAATGGGGGATATTTTCGACCCAGTTTAGGATGGTTGGGGGGAAGGCCCAAAGCTGACCGAAAACACCGAGAAAGTCCAGATACTTGGATTAAACGAGAATCTGGAGATAGGTGACTAACCACTAGTTATCACGGGGACCACGGTGATGCGACCCAAGGTCGCCACGGAAAAAGTAAAGGACCACCACGTGTTGTCACGTGAAAGGAACCCGTGGTATAAGTCAGACTTGACTCTGGTCAAGGTTAGTTTTGTGTCGACCTGTTGGAGCGAGAGGACGAGCGTCTGAATGTGCGAATGTCTACGTGAGTGCCTGAGGAGAAAGGAGACCTGCCGACGAAATGTTAAGCTGAGATCAACCATGCCAGCGTGTGAGATGTCCAAACGTCAGTGTTGAATCCATGGGACCCATCGTTGCTTGAATGCCTGCAGAAGACTGTTCGTTAAAAGGCTGCGTGAGTTTGTGTACGAAAGCGGTTCAATTAGACATCGACTGGACGATTCTGTTTGTCGTAAGTTGTAATACGTCAATAAAGTAATGTCTCGTAAGCTCACATC